AATCTCCTGACTGGAAACTTATCTTTCGGGTATGACAAGAGCTGGGGTCTTTACCTTTTGAGGTAACAGAATCCTTAAACGGCAGAATGTATCTTGAATTTCACTGGTGAGCAAGTATGCTTGTGCCACAGAAAATAGTGTCACCATTTACTGCTCACAAACATATGATTATTTCTGTAAAATAGATGTCATATGACCTTCTATATTCTCTATTTCTAGACATTCAAAACCTTTAGGGTACCTTTTAAAAAATTAAAACCTTTAGAATCATTGAATGTGAAAACAATCTTGGGTGAAATCGCATGGTAACTTATATCTAGCTCAAGCACTTGTCAGTATGTTTCATGCTTCAACAACCTGTAAAAGAGGAAAATAAAGGTCCTTTGATTTTTCTGACTTTCAACCCTGGAACAGGATGTCCCTGACTTTAAAATGGAAGATCTCCAGAAAAGGGAAAAATGAAAAGATAGCTTAACATATTATTAACTGCTAGTATTTTTAGTGTTTCAAAAATTTGCTTGTATATTCCTTTCATTGAAATATGCAGTTATGACATTTCCACGAAGTGATGGCATCTGGTGTTAAGGACAAAACAGTGGGACTTTACCACAAGCAGCCTGATTCTTGCACCTGCCCCGTCTGAGGAAGAAAGCTTTCTGAGGCCACTTAAGGAATCAGTAGCTGTCTAATGTGACACAGCCATGTAAAATTTTGCTCTTTTTCAACACTGGTATGATTTGTGAATAATAAATAATAGCAAATAATTAGACAGCACTCACTTACTAAGTACTGTGTGTGTGTATTCATGTAACTGTCATGACAACTGTAATTATTTTCATTTTACAGGTGAGAAACTGAAGAAGAAAGGAAGAAATTATATCCCTTGCCCAAGGTTACATCGCTGGTAAGTGAAAGAGCCCAGGCAAATGGGACCCAGAGCTTCCGACCTCAGCTAGCATGCACCACCACCTCTCCACCCCAAACGCGTTGTCCTCCCGAGTAGCCATCCTGGGAGGCTGTGCAATTCCATCTATGCTGGCATTTCTGAAAACACTCCTGTGCTTTCTTTCGTGTGATCGAGGGCTGATATACTAGAAGCCAGTCCAAACAGAGAGCAAAATAGCCCCCAGCAGCTCAATCTGGCAGTATGAAAAGGAACTGAGCTGTCCCTTTAGCTAGACGCAGCCCACAGACATGATTGGTTTGGCCTGTGGTTTTGGCCTGGACAGTGTTTTACATTTTAATTAGTTACCAAAATAAGCACAATGAAATTTAAAAGCCTTATACACAAATCTGAATTTCTGGTCTCTCTTGGAGAATTGGAGCCTCAACATTGGGCTTGAATCCGCAGTTTCTCACAATCCCCATCATCCGTGTCCCCCAGAAACTGGGGCTCAGGGTCACTTACCATTTCTCACATCACTTCATTTGTGTGTTTTACCTACCTGGCCCCTGTAGATACTTGATTTTGTGATGCTTGAAACAAAACCATTGTTTTCGAGGAGTAGTGGAATCAAAATAATTATTGAAGCTTGTGAAAAGAGAATTTCAGAGAGGAAACTTTCAGATTAGAAGGGCCGTTATTGCTAGGAATTAAAGGATTAAGGCAGAGCATTATTCTGAGCAAAAGAACTAAGGGTTAGATTAAAACCATGGGACACATAATTCTGGCCCGTCCCAGATATTCTACATGCTCTCAAGCAAGTTCCTCAATTTTCACGTAGAATAGCATATTTTCCAAATTCTAGGTACCATTCACACTATAAATTGACAAAAGGAAATATTTCCATGCCATGATCAATGTGTACTAGTCCAGAGAAGTTCGAAATGTTACTGGAATGGACAGAAGAAAGATTCCATAGCAATATCGCAAATCCCTCTCTCTCTAAAGATGAAATCATTGATCCTTCCGTAAAAAGGGTCTATCAAACAGGGTAACCACAAGAACAGACACTAATTTGGTAATGTCTGCTAGATAAGACGTAAACAAATGCGTTTCCCTAATGTGCTGTTGATATTTTTATCAAGAACTCTCCCTTACAGAACTCTATAACCTAATCTGCTTTGGACCTAGTCTTTAAATTATTTGCCATTATCCATGATACATACAAACTCCTTTATGCTTTGTTTAGCCTGCACTGGCAGGATTTGTGCAGCCATACTGAGATGGGAAGCCCCATGAAAAAGACAGCAGGACCCCCAGGCTGGGCAACTACCCTCCTGCCAGCACCATTTGGTTCCCTGGCCCTGCAGCATTATTTCACTTTTTAAACTCTGAAACGGCTTACTTCTAGGAAAGTGGAACTTACCCCTAAGATTCTATTGGTTCCCTGAGCTAACTCCTGATTGGTCTATTTGTAGTGCTTCATTTGCATCGAGCTCACTCCTGATTGGTCCATTTCCCTCACTCCTGATTGGTCCATTTCTACAAAGCCTGTTCCTAATTAGTCACCTTTGTTATACTTTATTTGCATATGATGTTACAAAATGTTGCAAAGTCTAGACTGGTAGCCTATAAAAGGCTGTGTAAACCTACAGATGGGGTCCAGAGCTTGGAGTGTTAACTCCTCTGGGCCCACTGCGGTAATAAACCTGAGTTCTCCAACTCTCTGAGTGCTGCTTGGTCTCTCGCTCAGATCCAGGTTGCTGTCACAACTGAGTTGTAACACCGAGCTGTAACACTGAGCTGTAACACACTTTTCTGCAACAATACAACCAGACCTCCAGTTATTTAACTGTTAGTTCATCCATACATTCATTCGAAAGATATTTACCAAGTGCTTACTAAATGCCATGTTCTCAGCTTCATTGTTGTAATTTACAGCCTAGGACATGGTTGGAACAATGAGGTTATATTCAAAGTTATTATGGAGTTGGAGGAGCTCAATGCATTTATTGTTCTATTTTGTGGTTTGAGTGGAGTTACTGAGATTACTGAAGAAATATTTCCTCACATTTGAGTTCCAAAATTATTAGCAAATTACCAAGCATCCTAGATATATGTTGTCCTCTACGTCGCTTGTGAGCCACGCTAAGAGAACTGTCTCCAAAGCAGTTTGGTATCTGCATCATCAGTCAGCTGGCACCGTAGGGGAAGAGATGATGAGATTTTAAAGTACTCATTATTCTTTCTGAAAAATTGCCGGTTTGTTTTTCCCCTCCTCTCATTCCTTAAAGTCTGTCTCAGAGTCTTTGGTGTTCTCTTGTGATCTGTTTGGCAAATGCTTCAGCCCATGTAGCACACTTCATTTCCCTTTCTCCCAACTTTACCTTCACTTGAGCACATTAGAGAAATGTATTATATACATATGTATACACTGAGGCTTCCTTCATAAAATATGTAGATGATGTCAGTGAAAAGGTTCGAGAATATCTTTAATTATTTCATTTTAAGCTAGAAAGACATGTAATCTATGATTTGGATCTCTTAATGTTCCAGAATTTCCATTCAGACAGAATCTTTAAGCAGTTATTTACAAGCCTGCTTCCTTTCCTTCCTAATGTTAATCCACAGTTAGCAGCATCCTGACCACTTGTGTCCTGAACTACCGCAACAGTTTCCATTCGAAACTACAGCCAGAAGCCCGTTAATGCCCTAATGAAAGCAATTTGTATCAACTAAGTCACAATGAAGACACAAGAGGGAAAAGGTTAACCTTGCCAAATGGGTGTCTTATTGAATTAAATGAAAACTGCAGTTCACTCTTCCCTCAGAATCCTGGGTGAAATTTAGAGATACAAGCTGCGTTGGCCTGAAGTATTTTTGGATTTCGTTTTCTTTTCACTCTGTGTCTCAGCACATGCTTATTTGAAAACTCCTCTACCTTTATTTCACCATCAAGAAGTTTTCTCTCTGATTCTGAATACAGCAGGATGGAATGCTTGAGGGATACGCGCGCGCGCACGTGTGCGTGTGGGGTGTGTGTGTGTGTGTGTGTGTGTGTGTGTGTGTCTGGGGCATGGGGCAAGGGGCAGAGTCCCAAAGAAACGAAATCAAGAGAGCTCTAAAGGTCTCTTTTTGTCAACTGTTCAACCAAAGAACACATGTTCTACTGAGTATTTTCCAAACTCCCAGACCATGCTATTCATCTAAAAGGTTCAGCTCCATTAAAGTCTATTGTGTTGGAATTCTTACAGTGTGGAAATATATTTTTTGTAGGCCTTATTTTCTTTTCTCTGAGACAAAAGTGCAAATAATGCCCAGCTGATTATTATCACCTTCAACATCCATGAGCACCTTGAAAAAGGATCTCATTTTATGTCTCAGAAATACAAGAATATAAAAAATATTCTCCCTGTTTTAAACCGCTAGGAGCTTGCAGTTTATTTGAGGAACAGGTTAGGCATATGTAAATATGCAGATAATTAAAGACATATTGGTAAGTGGTATAGACAATAATGATGTAGGAGAGGGTGAGATAGGAAGCTGACATGGAATGTTCCATGGACAAATATTAGCAATTTAAATTTGCTCAAGGTTAATGCTCTACTGACCCAATACTAACCATATTAAAAAGAACAAGAACTTGGGGCAGAAAACATGTTTAATTTCTTTCTCCCAATTTCTCTACTATGATCTAACTATTTTCTTGACCCAGACTACCTGGGTTCAATCCTCTTATCTGATGCTCTTTGTATTGCCCCAACTAATTGTTCTAGAACAAGGGTCAGTAATTTTTTTTTCTGTAAAGAGAATCAGATAATAAATATTTTAGGCTTTGTAAGCCATGCAGTTTTTGTCACAACTGTCCAATTACACAATTGTAGCATGAAAGCAACCATAGATAATATGTAAAAATTGAGAATGGTAAGATTCCAATAAAACATTATTTATGAACACTAAAATTGGAAATTAATATAATTTTTGTGCATCATGAAATAGTATTCATCTTTGGATTTTTTTAAACTACTTATAAAATATAAACCATCCTTAGCTCCTGGGCTGTACAAAAATGGGTGGTCAACTGGATTTGGCCCATGGACCATAGATTTCTGACTTATGCATGAGAAGGCTTTATCATTTCCTCACTCCAGCTCTATTCAGTTTCCTCATCTGTCTCACAGAAACTAGGTCCAGTTGCTATGTACAAGTAAAGTAACTTGTGATCTTCAAAGTATAAAGCTAAAGTTAATGTAATAATTGATTTGATAGTAAATAATTGACATAACTTAAGATCAAAGGAAGCCTCTGAGCATGTTGAGCATCAGAAACTGCTGTCCAGGGAAAAGTCAAGTAAGTAGAACATAGGGTGACTGAGTCAGAGTCTGTATAACTAACAGTCAAGCCTGGTTCTGTTGTGGGAGAATAGTTCTTGCCTCGCACAGGAAAGAATTCAAGAGCAAGGCATGATAAAGAGAAAGCAAGTTTATTTAGAGAGATACACACTCTATAGACAGAATGGGGTCTGTCTCGCTCAGAAGGGAAAACGGTTTAGGAGATACACACTCCATAGGCAGAATGTGGGCCATCTCAGAAAGGTGAGAGGGAGAGAGACCAAGAGGTGTGGGGGTATTTAGTTTAAAGTAAAAGCAGATACACACTCCACATACAGAGTGTGGGCCATCTCAGTGGGGAAGAGAGACAGAGAGACCAAGAGGTGCAGAGTGGTTAGGTTTTATGGGCTTGGTAATTTTATATGGTAATGAGTAGGAGGATTATTCCAACTAATTTCCGGCAGGGGCGAGGATTTCCAGGAAATGCCTCCCACCCCCCTGCCTACTTTTTGACCTTTTATGGTCAGCCTAGTAACTGTGATGGCGCCTTTGGGAATGCCATGGGGCTCAAGGTCTACTGCAAGTCAAATCTTCCACCATCTTGGTTCTAACTAGTTTGTCCTGTCCTCAATTGCAGTGTCCTTCCTTCAGTGGTTGTGCCCAGCCATCTTTCTTCCCACTTCAGTTCCA